CGGATTGTTTGGAAAAAAAAAAGGGGGGGGGGCAGGACAAATAGTGCATCCACGTGTTTAACTCACAACTCATGTCAAATTCTCGGCCCTCGGTTGTCATGCCCAGAAGCCAGGACCAGAGAGGACACAGGATCCTTTACCTGTAACAGACCCCTGGGGTGGCGTTAACTCTTCCCTCCCCGACTCTGCTCCTTGATTCTCCTCCAGCACTTGCGGCAGACTGTCCCAGGAAGGACAGCCCCGCCTTGGTGGTGGCCGGGGCCTGCCCCTCTCCTCCTGGCCTCCCCGCCCCACCCCCAGCTCCCCTACACAGGCAAGCACACCCCCACCTGTGCACACGACCTGTCCCCGCGCGCCACCGCTCACAGCCCCGTGTGTTTTTCTCCCTCCGGCTCCGGGCGCCCTCTCCGAGGCTCCGCCGTGTCTGGGATGGGCTTCTAACCCATGTCCCTAAATGCCTGGTCTTAGAAAACACGGAAGAATTCCAGACACGTCAAAATTACCGTGGTGAGTGGCCGTGGTGGTGGGACTCCGGACGGACCTCCGGGCTCAAACCCCCCATTTTGCTACTTCCCTGAGCCCGCCGTGCTGTCCGTGATCCCGCCTCCTCACCTGCAGCAGGAGAAGAGGTGACAGTGAGAGTAATGGAGTGATAGGAAGAGTGATACCTCGGGTATCACTGTGAGGGGAAAGTGAGTCCGTCCTCGGAGGACACAACAGTGGCGGGTTCCCAGGACGCACAGCCGCCACTCCCATTTCGGTGGCTGGAACATCGGTGTGCCAAGGACGGCCCCCCGGCCCAGCTCCCAGCTCCTGGGAACGCGTCGCCTTGTGCGGCCAGACAGACTTTGCAGGTGTGAGTAGGGATCCCGAGGTAGGGAGATCACCATGGGCCAGCCAGACATCTCAAGGCTGGACCCTCCTCAGAGGAGGTGGAGCATCAGAGCGAGCTGTAGGGAACCTGCAGACTCCACATGGAGTCTGCGAGTAAAGCCGTGGTGCCATCTCCGCGAGGCTTCCTGGTGGCCCTCCCCAGCAAGGGTTAGGCTGGAGCTGTCCCTGCATCTGTGTTCTTATTTAACTTATTTTCTGATCCTGATGTAAAACCTGAATGTTTTCTCCCCAGATTCATCGGCCACCGGGTCTGGATTTGAGTCCAGCTCCTGATTCCTTCGGGTTCTGTTCTAGGCCGGCGGGCAGGTTCCTAAGAGGAGAAGCATCCGCAGGCCTCACGCTGCGGCCTCCTAACAGCCTCTCTCCTTGCAGGAAGCCGTGGTCAGCACGTGGCTTCAGCTCAGCGACGGCTCGGTGACGCCCCTCGACATCTACGACACCAGGGACTTCAGCCTGACCGCCACCTCCCTGGACGAGGCCGTCGTGTCCGTCCCCCAGGCCCGCTCTCCCAGGTGGCCGGTTGTGATGGCCGAGGGGGAAGGCCAGGGGCCGCTGGTCCGAGTGGACATGACCATCGCAGAGGCCTGCCAGAAGTCCAAGCGCAAGAGCGTCCTGGCCGTGGGCGTGGGCAGCGTCAGGGTCAAGTTTGGCCAGAACGACGCCGACTCCGGTCCCGGCGGGGGCGGCGACGAGGGCGAGATCAAGAACCACGCCAGTGACCGCCGGCAGAAGGTTCAGGAGCCCGAGGGGCCCCCGCCCGGCGGCTCCTCCGTGGAGCGCGAGGAAGGCGCCCCCCGCAGAGGCGGCACGACGGCCCGGCCGCTGCCGGACAACAGGGTGGTGAAGAGCAGCCGGCCGGACGCGGGCAGGCCGTCCGGAGAGGGCCAGCTGCAGAACATCCCCCTGGACTTCACCAACTTCCCTGCCCGGGTGGACCTGCCCCGCGCGGGGGGCGGGCTGGGGGCCAGCGACCTGCTGCAGACCGCGAGGGGCCTGAGCGACCTGGAGATCGGCATGTATGCCCTGCTGGGCGTCTTCTGCCTGGCCATCCTCGTCTTCCTCATCAACTGCGCCACGTTCGCCCTCAAGTACCGGCACAAGGAGGTGCCCCCAGAAGGCCAGGCCTCCGTCACCCACTCGCACGACTGGGTGTGGCTGGGCAACGAGGCCGAGCTCCTGGAGCACGCGGGCGAGGGGTCCCCGCCGCAGGACGAGCACACGACCGTCCTGGACCGCGGGCCAGGCGGCAGCGAGGAGAGCAGCTGTCTGTTGCTCAACGGCGGAGCCCGGCAGCACGTGCAGGGCCGGGGGCACGGGCCGGACTCGGGGGGCAGGCAGGCCAGGGACCCGAAGCCCGAGCCCCTGCACTCGCCCACCTCCAAGAGGAAGAAGGTGAAGTTCACCACCTTCACCACCATCCCGCCAGACAACGGCTGCCCCGGCGTGAACTCCATCCTCGGTGGCGGGGGCGAGGACATCAAGTGGGTATGCCAGGACGTGGCCGCGGGCGCCCCCGAGGAGCTCAGAAACTACCTGGAGAAGTTCAAGGAACAGGCGTAGGCCCCTCCGGCCGGCGGCTCTGCACCCCGCCCCTCGCGGGGCTCGGAGTGGGTCTGGCTCCGGCATCGGGTTGGATCCGGGAGGGCCCGGCGTGGAGCGGGGGACACACCCCCGCCGTCAGGCTGTGCGAGTCCCGGAGCCTCCGCGAGGGGCCGCGTGTCTTTTGTAGCAAGGATTCTGTAGCAGTCGATGATGGCGGAGTTTCGAGAGTCAGCGGAGCCTGCTCTGGGTGGGTTGCTGACCGAGACCCTGAACCGCACAAGGGCCACGTTAGGAAGGTGATTTTACGAGTTGAAACATAACCCAGACAAGCTACCAAAAATTATTTGTTAAAAAAATGCAAAAAGACAAATAAAAAGACAGAAGGAATCATCTCTTTATTTATATTTTTAATAAAGTAGCAAAATCTACAACGAGGTCCTGCTAAGGCCCCATTTCTGTTTTAGTTCAGTGTCCCCCACCCTTTCGAGGACGGCCGTCTCTGGGAAGAGACCATCCCAGCCCTGGGTGCCCTGGGATGATGAATCTCAGGGTTTTCGATCTTTCCTGGATAATCTTCTCTTCTCCCACATTTCCTTCCCTCCTTCCAACAAGTTTTCTGTGTCCTATGCTGCCATCTGATTTGTATTTAATGTTTATTTCCAAGGACCAAATGGTATATTTTTCCTGATTTAAACATACGTTATATTCGTATACATTAGGTGAATTCTTAGAAATAGTCTCCATTTATCCATCCTTTAAGTAGTAAGTCTGATGCTCTTCTGTACTCCTCCAGCCTTGTTGATATTTGCTGGGGTTTAAAAATCAAAGGGTTGGGGAGGCGTCCCCTGGATCTTGACCTTGCCCTCCACCACACCCACCCCCCAGGCCACAGCCTGTGGGCGGAACGCTGCCCGAGGCCGTTCCAAGGGGACCCAGCCAGCCACGCGGAGCTCACAGAGCCCAGCACCCAGTGGCTCCCCACTCAGGGGAGGTCTGGTCAGATCCACGAGGGAGAGATCGCACCCAAGAGAAGTCTGTGCCTCCTCGTGCAGGACATCTGTCACGAGACCCGCGGACGCTGAGAAACGAGCCAGGATAAAAACTCTGGGAGGGTTTTTGAGTCGTCCCTCTGACTCTGTTGGGCGGAACATGCCAGCGTGGACCGAGACGATAAAAATCTGTGTTAGATGGTCAGCCAACTGTGGTTTTTAACAGCCTGCTTGTGTAAGCAGCACATTTGCAAAGACGCATTGATCCAAAGTCAACTGTGTGTGGCCGAGAGAGCACCGTGTCCTGAATGAGCCCCTCGGTGACTGCCAGGCCCCGGGGCCTGCTCTGGGCAGGCACCGCTCACCCGCGAGGCTCGTTGTTTTTATTTTTTTAATTACTAAAATCAGTAGCTAAGAAAGGGTCCTTGGAGCCTCATGACCTTTTCAAAAGGCTATTTCTAGCACATATTACAGACGGAAGGGAGATATTTATTTATACCTGTGATGTCAGTTGTCATTAAAATGCTTTCCATGCCTGGACAAGTCAGTACCTTGTGGGGTGTTTCTTTTTTCAGTTAACTCCTAGTTCCTCTCCCGCCGAATGTACAACTTGCTGAAGAAACCACCTGTCCGCTGGGCTCGAGGGAAGACAGCACATACGTGGGTCCCGTGACTGCTGCAGAGGGCTTCCCGGGACCCCCTCGTCCGCCGTCACCCCCACCAGCGGCTCTCATGCTGCGCGTGCCCACAACCGCCAGGAGGGCTCATAAACTACAGGCTGCTCAGGGGGCTCCAGAAACACGCATTCCTGACAAGTTCCAGGGCAACGCGGATGGGGCAGGTCTGAGATCCACACCAGGTAGAGGAACACCTTGACACTGGGTGGAAAGGGTGGGAGCCCCATCCGGTGGGAAAGGGGTTTCTTTTATCGGGACTGTTTTTGTGGGTGGTGTTTGAGGTCTCAGCGGGACTGTGGTCGCCGTTGGTTAGCTGGGGGTAGAGAATGTTTTGGTAGAAGATAAAGTGGCGGGATTTTTTTTTTTTTTTTTTTTTTTTTTTTTTTTTTTTTTTTAGTAACAGCTTCATTAAGACACAATTCACGTGCCATAGACTTAACCCATTTACGGCGTACGATACAGTGGGGGTTTTTTTGTTGTTTATCCAGAGAGTTGTGCATCCATTGCCACCCTGACTGTCGAAAATTTCCATCATCCTGAAAAGAAACTCCATACCTGTTCCAATCACTTCCCATTCCTTGAAAACCCCCGGCTTCCAGGAAACCACCGGACTTGCCCAGAGGTGCTGGTGTCTCTCTCCTTGTGGGAGAATTCTGACCATTCCCTGAGCAGGATCCTCCTTCTTGTGGGGAGCCGATGGGGTTAATGCGACGGTGAGGTTTCCTAATCAAGGCACCAGGAGATCTCGGTGCCCCCGCAGCACCTCTGGACAGTGCAGTGGGAAAGCACAGACTTCAAGATCTTTGGTGTCCGCTCCTAAATCCAGCTACCTCCCTGGCTAGCGCATACATTTCTTTAGAAGGTGAAGGCTCCAGATAAGGGGAAGGAGGGCTGTGGTTGGCTCTATAATGCTGGGTGCTTCGTCTCCGCCCCGCGCTTGGAAAGCCATCAGACCCAGCCACGCCCCACCCGTGCGCTCCCGCAACAAGCCGCGGACGCTGGCCCTGGGCACATAACTCACGCGGTCCACTCCGGTGAGCTGAGCTGCGCCAGTTCTGAGCCCGTGAGACAGGGAGGGCCGCTGAGGTCTTCCTCCCCGGGCAGGAGGCTCAGGGAACACCCCCGCTGTCGTTGGTGGACAGCCAAGAGGCCAGGTCGGGGTGACCGCCTGGTCCCGTTTCCCCTGGGACCGACCTGTGTTTTAAAATGGGGAGACCCTTTTTATTTTCCAAATTAACACAGTGTGCATCTGAAGCTCACACCATGTTGAATGTCAAGTATATTGCAATTAAGGGATAAATTAGGAAAGGAAACCTGAAGACCCGTGTCCCATGCAGCGTCTCTGGGGAGGCTGGGATTGGTTGGCCGCCCTGGGCTATGGAAGCGATACCAACTCCCATTAAAAGCTGGTGCTGTCCGCAGACAACACGTCAGTCCCGCCCTCCCCTGACTGGGGTTTGTGACACGGGAGCGCACGTCCCAACCTCCAACTTGGGGCCGGAGCCCCTCCCTCCCGCGTGTGTCCTGGGTGGGATCAGAGGGCGAGGTCTCCCTCGTGTGTACGTACACTGAATAAACGGTACATTAACAAACTGTGAGACCCTAAAACACATCGGATCGGGCATCGGGATCCCCTATTCTCTTTTATTCTGAGCACCGATGCCGCACCCACCCTCCAAGCCCGCCCACCTGCCTCCCTCTTGACATGTGAGCCTGTGAAGGCCCTGAACGAGTCTGCAGACCCACAACCTCTGATTTATTCCCGAGGGTGCATGCCAGCTCCTTCTGCAAAGAAGGCCCCAGGTGAGCTGTGCAGGGACCTTCTCCTAGAAGGCACCATCTTCTTTACAATGACGTGCGTCTGAGTCTGGGGAGGGGGTCACCACAGCACTGGGACTGTTCAGAGAGACCAGCTGTAACTCGTCCTGTTGCAACGATCCAGTAGAACGAGAGTGGCCTGTCTCCTGGTTGCCGGTCTCGTTATTCACTTAGCAGACACTGACCGAACGCCCGCTGTGTGCCTGGCCCTGGGCAGCACGCAGAAGGTGGAATAAAGGAGACGCTTGCAGCCAGGGCGGGGAGGAGGCAGGGAAGGGGGCAGCTAGAGCCCAGAGCGGTGGGTGCAACAGCGGGCTTGGTGCGCGATGGGCGGCGTGCACCCCACTGCTCTGTTCGCGGCTGCGTGCCCCAGCCGGACCCGCACGGCCTCTCCAAACACGAATCTGCTCTTTCTCGTGTGAAATAGATACCGAATATTTGCAGGCATTAGCATGAATCTTTATTAATATTAGCAATAATGCACCGACACTATTAACATTAATGCTTTTTAACATTAGCCATAAGTACGATAATAGAGAAGAGCCACTCCATTGAACAAGTGTCAGCCAGGCCCAGGGTTGAACTTCCCTTACTCACTCCCTGGCCACCCTCCGAGGCAGGTGCGTTGGCTCCGTGTCACAGACGAGGAAGCAGGCTCTGAGCATCCTGCCCAAGGTCACGCCCAGGACATAGCCAGACCGGGCCTCAAGCCCATGCCTGTATCCCAAAGATTGTGGTCCCAATTACTACACTAAGGCAAGCTTTGCATAAAGTTCCTAGCATTAAAAATGGAGTAAAACTGGGGTGCCTGGGTGGCTCGGTCGGTTAAGCGTCCGACTTCGGCTCAGGTCATGATCTCACAGTTGGTGGGTTCGAGCCCCGGGTCGGGCTCTGGCTGACAGCTCGGAGCCTGGAGCCTGCTTCACATTCTGCGTCTCCCTCTCTCTCTGCCCCTTCCCCTGTTCGAGCTCTGTCTCTCTCTGTCTCTCAAAAATAAATAAGCATCTAACAAAATTTTTAATGTTTTTTCTAAAAGAAAATGTACCATTACAGATGTGACTTAAATTAATTTTTTTTTTTTTTTCATTTTAAACGCAGCACATGAGCAAAGTGTTTGTGAAAACAACAATTTGCCTGTGCTGGTGCTTCGGCAGTGACCTTCCAGGTTTTTGCTCTCAGATTTCTTCTTTCCTCCAGAGTTGAGGTCAAAGTGCAAACACTGATTTTAAGCATCATGAACAGGGACGGTTCTGTGGCCCTCGACGGAAGACATATGGTCACGAAAGTCACGTGTGGAGGCACAGGCTGTGAGGTGCAGGCAGGGCCCCTCCAGGGGGACGGGGAGCCCCGAGACTGAAATCAAGCCCGTCTTTGCTGGCCGAGAAGCTTCCGCCTGGAGGAGAGGCCGAGCCCACTCGCTTGAGCCAGAGTGCCCCCTGCTTGCCAGGCGAGACATTCGGACTGCACCTTCCGGGAGGAGGCCACGGGCCACGCTCTGCACCCAGAGGCACAAGGGGTGCTGTGGGAAGACGCG